CCCCCACACACACGCACCAGTCAAACTGCTGTGCAGCGACATGCATTTTTTTTCTCCTTTAAATGACCAACCAAACGGAACGCCGCGTGTTGTTGCAGGGAGGTCCGCCCATTATATAACCTTACAGTAGAGTGGCATGGGCTACTGAGCCCATACCTAGACGATCAGAGTATAAGAACGTATAGGCGCATACAATGCAACACATATTATGTGAGGCGTCGTGGTGAAATCAGGCGTGGGTGGTTGGCGGGTGCCCTGGTGTGGTTTGCTTGTGCTCTGGTGTGATTTGCCCTCTGAACTTCTTTCTTATCAAACATCTATCGTCTCTATTCTACCCTCCTTTTTTGTGTGTGTTTGTTACTCTTTTGTTGTAACGCCTCTAATCTCCGGCTCTGATATGACTGTATTGTGTTGCAAGTGCCGTAAAACTCTTACTAAAACTAAAACCTTACACGTAGTGTAGCATGGGCTATTGAACCCCATATAATGTCACACATACATATTTTATGTGAGGCGTCGTGGGGAAATGGGTGGTTGGCGGGAGCTCTGGTGTGGTTTGCTTCTTCTTTCCCATCAAACATCTATCGTCTTTATTCTCCCCTCCTTTTTTGGGGGATGTTTATTACTCTCTTGTAACACATCAAGTCTTCGGCTCTTATTATTTGGACCTTATTGTGTTGCAAGTGCCGTAAAACTCTTACTAAAACTGAAACCTTACAGTAGTACTGTGTAGCAACGGGAGGTCGACGTTTCACGCAATTACGTCACAGCGTGTACCTGTGGAAAATAAGAATTGATCGTTTCGCCGCAGATTGAATTCGATTACAACTAGATTCAGTTTAGTACGTTGTGGGTAGTAGTAGTAGTAGTAGTAGTAGTAGTAGTAGTAGCAGTAGCAGTAGCAATAGCAGCAGCAGCAGCAGCAGCAACGGCAGTAGTATAGTGGTAGTAGTAGTAGTAGTAGTAGCAATAGTAGTAGTAGTAGTAGGAGGAGGAGGATAGGTTTATATACATAATTACATGTCAATAACGATTTTTCTCTCCCTCTATCTCCTCGTGTTTGGCAATTTTTAATCGAATTTTTGCTTTTTGGCTGAACAACTTTTATGTCCATTTAAGTTTGGATGTGGGTGGTTGGCGGGTGCTCTGGTGTGGTTTGCTCCTTCTTTCCTCTTAAACATCTATCGTCCTTATCTCTCCTCCTTCTTTTTTACGTTTGTTGTTACTCCTCTAATCTTCGGCACTTATATGACCTTATTGTGTTGCAAGTGCCGTAAAACTCTTTACTAAACTAAGTTTGGATTTTGCTGAAATAATAATATGTTGATTAAAAACGCAAAATGCAAATTTTCAGTGTCCAAGGACTCTTTTAAGCTTTGGAAGTTATCACACTTTATCGGCCATTTTCTCGCTTATCACACTTTATCGGCCATTTTCTCGCTTATTTTACTTCTGAGACCAGCTGGTGAACCCCATCTCCTTCAATCGCAAATATCTCGACTTCTGTTTCAGATAGGTCAGTATTTTTTTTTCTTCATCGCAATGCTACCAATCATTACTCCAGATGCCCCAAATTTGACCAGCGCCAGATTTCACAGTGTCGTCACACATTTCTTTTTCCGACCGTGACCACCTTGACCATCAATGATTTATTTATAGTATAGAGGCATCAGCCATCCATGTCCAGGTGCTGTTCTAGCCTCTTTCTCCTGTCTGCGGATTGACTCAGCTGTATTCTTTTTTCCAATTTATTGGCTCCGCGTCCATGCAACCCGTATCTATGGCTTTCAACCTGCAAATCGCCTATAATTCGCTGTAATTGTCCCCCCCCCCCCCCCCCCATTTCTCCTCCCCCCTTACCATTTCTCCCCCCCCCCCTTATAGTGTCATTATTTATGTTACCGTTATTTTATCGATAACATGATTAAGGGCAGTATTAATGATAATTTTTTTCCCGATCACCAATCAGCCGTCCATCAAACGGAACGCCTACGGCTGGGTGCGCGCGGCGCAGAGATCCTGGGTGTAGGTGGTTAGCGGGTGCTCTGGTGTGGTTTGCTTCTTCTTTCCTATCAAACATCTATCGTCTTTTGCTCCCCTCCTTCTTTTTTGTGTTTGTAACTCTCCTGTAACACCTCTAATCTTCGGCACATTATATTATTATGACCTTATTGTGTTGCGAGTGCCGTAAAACACTTGTTAAAACAGATCCCTGGGTGCAGTCGCTGGTGAACGCTGGTGTTCTAGCGGGCGGTTGGCGGGTGCTGTGGTGCTGTTTGCTCATGCTCCATCTCTCCTGTCAAACTCAAACGTCTCCTCCTTTTTGTGTTTATTACTCTCTTGTAACACCTCTAGTCTTCGGCACTTATAATAATATGACCTTATTGTGTTGCAAGTGCCGTAAAACTCTTACTAAAAAAACTTTCTTTCTTTCTCTCTTTTCTTCGTTCTTTGGGGATTTGTTAATTTGTCTTTTTATTTGTTTATTCATTCAATTGTTTCTTTCTTTTTTGTTCGTTTATTTTAAAATTATATATCTGTTCATCTACTTATTTACTTAATTTATTCATTCATTTATAATTTAAATGCATTTATTCCATTTATTGTTGCTCTGTTCTAACACCTCTAATTTTCGGCACTTATATGGCCTTATTGTGATGCAAGTGCCATAAGACTCTTACTTAAGCTAAAACAATTATTTATTTTGAAACATTCGTTTATTCATTAATTTATCTATTTTTCAAGATCTCCAAATGGCCGTCGAAACGGAACACGTACGGCTGGTTTATTTATTTATTTATTCATTCAGTTGTTTATTTCTTTTTGATTTGTTTATTTCTTTATTTATCTTTTAATTAATTAATTTATTCATTCTTTCATTTATACTATTAATTCATTTTATTCATTTATTTATTTTTAAAATTCGTTTATTCATTTATTTTCCCCAGATCTCCAAATGGCCCTCGAAGCGGAACACGTACGGCTGGGTGCGCGCGGAGATCCTGGGGGCACTGGTGAACGCCGTGTTCCTGCTGGCTCTGTGCTTCTCCATCCTGGTGGAGGCGCTGAAGAGACTGGTCAACGTGGAGGAGGTGGACAACCCCAAGCTGCTGCTCATCGTGGGCTCTGTGGGGCTGGCCGTCAACCTGGTGGGACTCTTCTTGTTCGGAGGTACGTTGTAGCTCTTTCCTTCTCTGTGTGTGTGTGGGGGGGGGGGTTGTGTGTGTGTGAGTGTGTGTGTGTGGGGGGGGGGTGTGTGAGTGTGTGTGTGTGTGTGTGTGCCTCTGTCTCTCTGCCTCTCTCTCTCTTTGTCTGTCTCTCTCTTTACCCCTCTCTGTCTCTCTCTCTGTGTCTCTCTCTCTGTCTCTCTCTCTCTGTCTCTCTCTCTTTGCCTCTCTCTCTCTCTTTCTCTGTCTGTTTGTCTCTCTCTCTGTCTGCCTCTCTCTCTCTCTCTCTCTCTCTCTCTGTCTCTCTCTGTCTCTCTCTCTCTCTCTGTCTCTCTCTCTGTCTGCCTGTCTCTCTCTGTCTGTCTCTCTCTCTCTCTCTCTCTCTCTCTCTCTCTCTCTCTCTCTCTCTCTCTCTCTCTCTTTTTCTCTTTTTTTCTCTCTCTCTCTGCCTCTCTCTCTCTCTCTCTCTGCCTCTCTCTCTTAAACATCTATCGACCTTGTCTCTCCTCCTTTTTTATGTTTCTTTCTCCCTTGTAACACCTCTAATCTCGGCACTTATTTTATGACCTTACTGTATTGCAAGTGCCGTAAAACTCTTACTAAAAATTTATTTCCCCCCTATCTACTTCCGGCGCTGCTCAGTGGTGACAAGGCTCTAACAGATCTATTGAATTGTAATGACAGTAATATATAATTAATTAAAATTTTGTATGCATACCTAGCTGCATGTGTTTTTACGGCCCTGTACAGCCAAGAACAATTTCCGTCCGTAATAATAACGTATTATCTTATCTTATCTTTTCTTATCTTATCTCATCACAGGTCACGGTCACTCTCACGGGGGAGGAGGTCACGGCCACTCGCACGGAGGAGGTGGCGGAGGAGGTCACGGCCACTCCCACGGCGGCAACCAGGCGGCGCTCGACGACATGGAGGAGGAGGAGTTGCGGACCAAGGTGTCGTCGATGGCCAACGGCTCGTCGGGCCACCCCGTGGAGAACGAGGCCCTGGTCACCTCGGAGGGCCTGTCGCGGAGCAGCTCGGATGACAAGGAGGTCTACACGTCCCAGTCCACCAACATCACCATCGAGGTGAAGAAACCCAAGATAGGTGAGAAGACAGATTTCTGTGGATTTTTTTTTTTTTTTTATGTGTGTGTGTGTGCCTAAAGAAAGGTACCAAAAGTGGCCACGAAGCATTTTGAGCTGCAGGCTAATAATGACCCCAAAAAATCACTTTTTTGACGGAAATGTGTTTCCATTGCAAAAAGATGATAGTTCCACCATTCTTTTACAATGTGTTAAAAGGATTTTCATTGATTTGACTTCTAAATATTTTATTTTGAATAATTTTGAGACCAGCGTATTTTTTTAAAGAGATAACAAAACTGCTTTTAGAAGGTGTTAAAATCTATTCTTAAAGCATGCTTTCTCTTCTCCGCTATGTTTTACCATTGAATTCTAGTCATGATTTTGATGTCAACTGAATACCAAATTGGAAATGAATTTTCCATGAAAAAAATACATTAGAAACAACTGAATCGTTTGTTTTTTTTCAAGTTTGAATGTGTTCTAAACTTAAAAGTTAATCTTCTCAAAATTAGATCTTTATACCCTACCTCACAAAATGTGCAATGTCTCAAAACCTACTTGAGATATCTCAAAAATTAAAAAACCACTTTGTTCAGCATTAAATTTCCTATAAAGTGCAACCCTTAATTCAAAATGGTGAAAATTCGACTTTTGGTACCTTTCTCTAAACACACACACACACTCATGCACACACACACGCGCACACAGTAATATATATATATATATATATATATATATATATATATAAGGCAGCGTGGTGGAATCAAGCTCTCGTCAAAATAATCAATGTGAAGAAACTTGTATTTTTCCACAGGTTTGTGAATTTTCATCAAATTTTTGTTTTTTGGCTCAACACTTTTCACATCCTTTAATTAAAGAACTCATTTATGTTGGATTTTTCTGAAAAACGTTGATTAAAGGCACAAAAAATGTACATTTTCAGTTACCACGTACTCTAAAGCTAAGGATATAACTACTCTTTGACAGCCATTTTCTCACTAATTTTACCTCTGAAAACAGGGGACCCCCACCTCCTTCATTTGCAAATATCTCGACTTGTATTCAAGATAAATGGATATTTTTTTCATCCAAATAAAGACAACTGAACAAGCTTTAAGATGACACCAATGACTCTACATGCCCAAAAATTGACGAGAGCCTGATTCCACCACGCTGCCTCACATATGTATAGTGAAAAGAGTCCAAGAGAACAGCAGCAAGACAGGCCCTGACATAAGCACCAAGAAACAAAAGCAATGGTCATATCAAAATCTACAGGAAAAACGACAGACATAACCATAGATGGGGAGACAATTGAACAAGTACATCTATTCATATATCTAGGGGCCGCAATCACAGACGATAGCAGAAGTGAAACAGAAATAAATATAAGAGCACCAAATGCACAAAAGCCAGATTCAGCCGAATGCGCAAACTATTTACTTTCAAGCAGTTATCTCTACCTTTAAGAAAGAAAATGGTGGAATGCTACATCTGCCCCATATTCTTATAAATCGCTGAGACCTGGACTTTGACAAAGAGAGAAGAAAATGCGTTTGAGATGTGGTGCTTCTGCTGAATGTCCAGAATTAGCTGGAAAGCAAAAAAAGGCGAATAATGAGGTGTGTCAGATTCTCCGCTCAAGGGTGAAACAGGTTCAGCTGTATACATTAGCAGTTTGTGTGTGTGTGTGTGTGTGTGTGTGTGTGTGTGCGTGTGTGTGTGTGCGTGCGTGAGTTCGTATGTTGTGTGAATGTGTCCTTGAATGTACCTGGGCTATTCTCCTAAAAACTTGAACTTTTTGTAATACGGGCATCAAATTTTAGAGTTCAATCAAACAGCTTGAAAAAGTACTCAGTACACCTTTGACATGTTTAGTTTTGATCTCTACCGTGCTGAAGCTAAAGTTTCTTTAGTCTCTTCGGAAATGGAAGTAAAGTTTAGACCAGTGCGCTGTGGTCTTACACGTTGCAGGACACAACCGTACCAGTCAAAACATGAGAAATAATTATTTTTTTAAAGAAAAAAAAAGAAAAATGACTGAGGAGGCTAAGTTTCCTTTTAATTCCTTTATTTATTCACACAAATTTCAAAATATTTCTTTAAAAAAGAAAATGGTCATCAAACAAAATATCTTAAACGTTACCGGACTAAAATTATTTTTAAAAAAACAAACTAGACTTTTATTTATGAAAATAGTAATAAAAGTGGAACTCTTAAAAAGTATTGTGATGAAACAGGTAATCCATTGCTGTAGTTTCAGCAAATATGAACACAATAAGTTATTATTTTTGGCAACAACAGTAGCTAAATGTAGTAGAGTCTTAAACGTTACAGGACAAAAGATTTTTAAAAATTGTGGTAAAAATGCCGTTTTAGTTAAAAAAAAATAATATGCAAATCTTCTCAGAACTTACATACATATTAATATACATCTTTGATGTTTTCTTTATTGTTTTTAGAAGAAAAAAACCCATCAACTTATTCATATTTTAAAGACTTAAAGTTTACGGGACTAAAATTCTGTGGCAGTTGCAAAGTGAAACATAAAATCCGAACTGAGATGAAATCAATTCTCTCAATAGTAAAAGCAACAGCAGCAGCAGCAACAGCAGCAGCACAGCAACAGCAGCAGCAGCAGTAGTAGCAGCAGCAGCAGCAACAGCAGCAGCAGCAGTAGCAGCAACTACAAAAACAGAAGCAACTGCAGCAGAATACCAAAAAGGTATTCACATCTCCTCCTTCACTATCGCTACTAATATCATCAAAACACGTCTTTGTTATTCAGGGCAGCAAACTGTGTTCTATCTTTCTAGCTTTTTTTCCCCACTGTGATTCCTTGTGAAATTATGTCGATGTTCACTTACAAAATGTTTCCACGGTATGGTGATCATATTGAAGGTCATCTGAGACCACAACGATTGTGTGAGTCTTGTAGTATCCCATTTGGCACACTTGTAGTAATTAACCGTTGGTGGATGAATAGTTCCTTTTCTGTAGCTCCAATAGGAAAGACTGAATCCAGAATCTCATCTTGCGTGGAGCACTTAATTTTCTGCAAAATTCATCACAGTAATTACATCTACTTCCCTAACTGCCCTTCATGGGTTCAAGAACATGTGATATTGCCAGCATAAAACAAGTGTGATGGAAGGTTTACCAGCTTCTTTTAAAATTCCAAGTACACTCAGCAAGGGTGACATATTTCGTTTGCAACAACTTTCTTTTAGCGCCCCTATCAGTCTCTTTGCGCAACCACTGTCTATATTCAACTTGTTCCGTCAGTTGATTTCCGTCAAACACATTTTGATTTCAGGTTTGCTACATTTTTTGTGTGCTCGGATCGTGTAAACTTTCTGATGAAAGCCTGTTTCTGTCTAACAGCACAAGAACGTTACTATGGCTTTGCTTGTCCTGAATGTGCTGTTGGATTTTGTCGGGTCCTTTCATGGCACGGCAGTTTGAAGTTCTCGCATACTTTGCACATACTCTTATTAAATGTAGTATGTTCCGTTTTCTTTGTCTGTTTTGGGCAATTTTTGAAGAAAAAGCTTCTGCTCACAGCGATTCCGGTCTTTGACATAGAATTTTCATACAGCCTGTCCCCGTCATTTTATGCAAGAAAAATTCTGAAAGTATGCAAACTGAGCCCAAAAATGTGAAATTATGCGATTCTGTTAATTTGAACAAAGAGTGATAAAGGAAAATAATCAGAAATTATTCTAAAAATGATCATTATGCAGGATGCATAAAAACCACGGGGACAGTACAGCGCTTGAAGGGGTTCTTCAAGAACTGTTTGACGTTTTCCTTTCTGAGCCTGTCTCTTTTCTCCACTAATTCATCCATTGCACTTTGAAAATGTCGGCATGGGTGGTTGGCGGGTGCTCTGGTGTGGTTTGCTCCTTCTTTCCTGTCAGACATCGGTCGTCCTTATCTCTCCTCCTTCTTTTTTGTGTTTTTTACTCTTCTTGTAACACCTCCAATCCTCGGCACTTATATGACCTAATTGTGTTACAAGTGCAGTAAAACTCTTACTTAAACTAAAAACTAAACGAAAAAAAATCAGCACTGGCATCTGGGTACACCTTTCTTCGTCGTCTAATTCCTTTGCTCTCCGTGTAATATTCCATGAGGCATGCCAACAATCCAAATCTTTTCCGAAGAAACGTGTACTGCCACTGAGCATGGTGTGTGTGCTCCCTTGCCAGCTCCCCATCCCCCCTCCCCCCAGGGCAGTGCTATTGACTGAAGTGTCTTTAGGCCATTCCCCAATGGGGGATGTTATCACGTTCTTATGCACAGTAGAATTATAAATGGGCTGATTTATCAATGTCATGCTCATACTGTGCCGGAACAACACAGGGGGAAACTGCTGCTTTTTCTTTCCTCCACATTACGATCATCATTTTCCTCTACTTCTTTTGTATGTTTGTCGCTCTCTTGTGAACTGCAATTTCCGGGGTGCTTTGATAGTCGAAGCAGACTTTGTGCTGTTGAGGCTAGAGAGGTGACCTGAATACGCCTGATTACCTGTTTTGACTTCTTTGCTGACATCCACCCCTTGGCACTCATATGACCTTACGCAGTTGTGAGTGCGTAAAACCTTACTAAAACTAAACTAAGTTCTTTATTGAATTTCCTGTCTTTGGATTTTTGCACTGTGGGCACTGTCTTTTTTTGCTCCTGTGTTGTGAATGAGTTTTCTTGACGTACATCTTCCAAAGTTTGCTTTCGAGTTGCTTTGACTTTTGGAAGGACTTTCAATACTCTGTGGACAGCTTGTTTGCAAGCTTGTTTGTGGGTGTCTGTTTGACACTTCTTCTCTGCGTCTTCAGCTTTTTCTTTTTTGAGTGTTACCTTTCTCTAGCCGTTTCATTTTCTGCCTTTTTCTTCTGACTTGACCAGGAGGCTGTATTCTCTCTTATTGCATAGCTTTTCCATTTCTTTCTTTTGTATCACTAACTCAGCAAATTTATGTGTTGCAACTTTGCTAGTGGTAGTGGCAGGCAATGCGTGGTTTTTCCTCCCATGTTCTTCCTACATTTCTTTACTCGTTCGTTGGTCCTTGCCAAGAGATTTTCCATCTTCTTTTGCAGCAGAAAAAGTAGTCACAAATTGTGTTCTTGAATGTATTTCAATAAAGCTAACATAAAACAATTCTTCAGCTCTTTACGATTGCACATTGATGTCACCTTTTGTTTTTTCAATCGGTTCTCAGTTGGCTCAGTCTTAAACCTTTGGTTATAACTTCTGTTTATTTCTTTTCAGAATGGTTGTGCTTGAGCAATGCATTCAGAGATCTGTGACGCAGAGCACCTGTAGAAGTGTACAGTTGGAAAGATAATGTGGGAGGGGGAGGGGCAGATTGAAAGAATAGTTTTGTGACTGAATTAAAAGACATGATCCCGTGCTATGCTTGGTCAAGAATGAGGTTATGCTGTGTTTCTTTTTGTATTCCTTTATTTAAAAAATTTGCAGCGGAAAAAGTAGTCACAAATTGTGTTTTAGAGAATGTCTCAGTACAGTGAACATGAACAATCATTCAACACGTATGTGGTCTTGCTAGGCTTTTCATAGCCTAAGACAACTAAATCAGCTGCTATGCTCTAAATATTATTGGGACAACACTTTTTCCAAACTTTGGTTCAAATAATTGTGTCTATGTAAAAATTAAGACCAATGTATAAACTTACTCCCCTTTACTTGAAGCCAGAATTGACTTTCAATGTAAACTAAGGGTAAAGCCACACTTCGGGTGAGGCAATTAAAATTAAAACAGAGGGAAAGACGGATGTTACCAGTCATACCAGGTATGGTGCGAGTCGAGGAGATGCGAGGAGAAATTCCGGCAAATGTATTTTCGCTCTCATCGCTTGAAATGTATATATGCCTGCACACGAGCACATTATTCATTATTGACAGCATGCTTGACTCTAGTAGATCTATGTACTTTCAGTGATGATAACAAGAAAAGAAAACAAAAACAGTTATTGAAAGTTGTTTGTTAATTTTTTAAAAGCACAAAAACAAAAACAAAAAAAGCAATGCAAACGATGAATTTACTTTTATTCAAAACAAGATATTACAGAATTGGCCTCTTTTCAATTGTGTTGATCAAGATCTACCTCTCCATCAGTTCTCCTCAGCATTTTCTTCGCTTACACTCTTTCCATCTGTCACTCTCTCCTTCTTTCTCAGTCGTCCAGATAAGACTTCTGAAGTTAGTAGTCCTTCTGGTGATTTTAAACCATGATCATTTCATGCAGATGGAAAAAAGAATCACGACTCATTTAAAATTAACCTGCTTTCGTTGTCTAGTAAATTTCTCTTCCAGTGGTGAAGTTCACCAAACTAATGACGCATGTGATTAATCGCGTGCACCTACTCCTTTCTCGCTTTTCTCTTTGGAGTTTTTTCATCAATCTGGAGAAACGGCGCCAGTCTTTTTCTGTTCATTTTCAGCTGAAACTGAAATTGACATGGCAAATGGCATCGCCTTCTTTGCCTTGCTCCTGGTGTTTTCGCCTTATCTTGTCCCACCTCGTTTACAATGTGGCCTTACCGGAAAAGGGGACATGTTATTGTACCTTGTAGTCCCTTGACAGGGTCTGTCTGCCAAGTAGAATTGATGCTCGATCTTAAATATTTGAAGGAGAAAGCCAAGGGGCCTTTTCTTGCATACTTGTTACGTTTCAGACATGATAACAATAAGGCTGTCGATTTCAATTGCCTCACTTGTCAAACCCAAAGCTAGAAATATGTGGTACTAACGCATCAAAGCCTTCAAATGAAATTCTTGAAATAGCTACTCATTCTATCTGGATAAAACACAGACCACGTCTAAATTGTTGCGAGGATGAAATTCAAACACTTTCTCCATTTTCTGTTTCAGGACAACAATCACCATGAAAACCAACAATCCTTGTTTAGGCATGGATCCAAACCAAACTCATCCCTTTCCTCGAACAGTGCTTAGATTTTATCAATGAATCACACATTTGCTGTCATATAGCAATGAAAGCAGATTTTTTTAAAGCAATTCAAATCTTAATCGTTACTTACATCTGAATCGTTAGACCGGTTACATTTGCGTGACGAAGTCATTTAATCATCCTTATTTTCCATAGAGACCATCATCTGGCTGGGGAATAGTCAAATGCCAGGTTGACTGGAAATCAGTGCACTTGACACAAAAAACACTGCACCGAGATTTCGTGCAGCTTCTGGCTATATCTGAATACGTAGATCTTAATTGTTACAAACGTGACAAAAATTAAGAGGCGCGACTATTTACCGTCAAAAATTCTTAATCGGTTTAGTAATCGTGCTCTTGGTTGATGAGATGACTAAAGTGATAGTATTTCTGGATCTGCCATGAAAAATTACACTTTTTAAACAATCTATTGAACTGAGGATAGTGATACTATTTTTTTGCCATCTTATGGACAAGACATGTAACGTTTAAGACCAAACTTTATATGTCCTTTGTATGAAGAAATGGGCCGTAACCAGCCTATATTATTTGTCTTTTTACTCTTAAAGTTCTACTTAAGGTTAGTAATTACCATTAGCTATAGAAGGGAGATGCAGACAATTTTTTGGGAGAAATCTTAGGATGAAAATAGTCCCTGGTGAATATACATAAAATATGCCGAATTTTTCCCCAAAAAGCATCACAATTTTCCATCAAGCTTGTCTTTGTATTGGATATTTCCTGCCGAGTCCAGGTTTGGCAACATTTTCACCACCAGCTTAGCTCATCTTAACGATGGTTTGAAATATAGAAAGCTATTTATGGCATTTGTAGCAAAGCATAGGTGCAAAATTCAAGTTTTCAGGAGAATTGCCTATATATGTGTTTGTAGTGTATGAGTGTATGTGTGTTTGTATATGTGTGAGGCAGCGTGGTGAAATCAGGCTGTCGTCAAAATAATCAAAGCGAAGAAACCTGCATTTTTCCACAGGTTTGTAAATATTTATTAAAAATTTTGGTTTTTGGCTCAACACCTTTCATGCCCATTAAAAAACTCTTTTCTGTGTGGATTTTCTGAAAAACGTTGGTTAAAGGCACACAAAAATGTAAATTTTCAGTTACTACAGACTCTTAAGCTAAGGAAATAACTAATCTTTGGCGGCCATTTTCTCACTAATTTTACCTCTGAAAACAGGTGACCCCCATCTCCCTTATTTGCAAATATCTCGACTTGTATTCAAGATAAATGGATATTTTATTCACATTCATAAAGACAACTGAACAAGCTTTAAGATGATACCAATAACCCTACATGCTCAAAAATTGACGAGAGCCTGATTCCACCACGCTGCCTTTAGGTTTATCCAGTGTTCTTGTAGATGCCATTGTTGAGCTACTTTACATGACATTATACTGTCGTTGCCATGCCTTTCCCCGCGACACCCAAAAGGGTATCAGCGGCGGATAAAAGAAAAGAAAGAAGAGGCCTTGCTTTTCAAGATCGGATGGAGTAAAGGCAGTTGTTGACTCCAGCCAGGTACGTGGATGGTTGGTTGAGTTGGAGGACTCGACTGGAAGGTCCTACTTCTATACCTCCCCTCTGTTCTGTTGTTTCTGTCTGTCTGTCTCTCTGTCTTGCTTCTTCCTCTGTACCGTATGGCCGATATTGTACCGATGTGCTTCTCACTACTCAGACTCCAAACAAACTCGTCGTACTCTGAGTAATTGATGAAAGAACGTCAAAGTTAACTTTTTTAAAAAATAATTGATTCGTATGTGTGACATCTACCCTTGTGTGACCTCCTCAGCTCACTCGAGCCAGTTGAACATGCGTGGTGTGTTCTTGCACGTGTTGGGAGACGCGCTGGGATCGATAGTGGTCATTGTCTCGGCGCTGGTCATCATGTTTGTGGACGGGGACTGGAAGTACAGCGTGGATCCAGGAATGAGGTACCGTAGGTTGTTTGTTGTTTTTGTTGTTGTTGTTATCATCGTTGTTGTTGTTGTTGTTGTTGTTGTTAGGTCATTGTTGTTGTTGTCATCGTTGTCATCGTTGTTGTTGTTGTTGTTGTCATCGTTGTTGTTGTTGTCATCGTTGTTGCTGTTGTTGTTTTGTCATTGTTGTTGTTGTCATCGTTGTCTTCGATGTTGTTGTTGTTGTTGTGGGTGGTTGGTTGGTGCTGTGGTATGGTTTGCTCCTTCTTTCCTATCAAACATCATCTTTGTCCTTATCTTTCCTGCTTCTTTTTTGTGTTTGTTACTCTCTTGTAACATCTCTAATCTTCGCAACTTATATGAATGACCTGATTGTGTTGCAAGTGCCGTAAAGCTCTTACTAAAACTTAATGTTGTTGCCGACCTCTTCCCCCCTCCTCCACCTCCACCCCCACGTCCCCCTTCTCCCTCTTCTTCCCTTTCTTCTTCAACCTCCTCTACATCTTCCCCTATTATTGTCTTTATTCCTCATCCAGTTCTTTCTCCTTCACCCTATCTCTCTCTCTCTTCCC